TTGAATTTCAAAAATAAGTGAGATAAGAAAATAAAATACCTGGTAGGTAAAGTATATTACATTTAACAGGTGAGAAAATAGGCTACCAACAGTAATATTTATGAAACGTGAATGAACAAATTGAAATGGTGATATTGTGTTTTCTGGATGTTGCATGGCATTCTGTCTGAATGGGAATTTTTGAGCCCTCTAAGAGCTGGAAAGTATTGTTTGGATTTTACAAAAGAACTCAACACGCATACTACGAAGGTAAAGATAAAGAAGCCTTACAGCTTCTACAGATCGGTCCCATGAAGCCACGGTTATAAGCGAAATATAAAAAATTTCGTAATAGTTTCGAGTGTATGATATTTGGGTTTAGTGAACTTTTTTAAATAATATATAATAATGATAGCATTTATTGTCCACTAGTTACCCAATCGCAGGACAATTCCATGAATTAAATAAACTAAAAGCCTACGACAGCAAAACATAATTGCATACATTTCAAATTTTGACAAAGGTCATTAATAAACAATAGTAATAAAAGTGGTCCCAAGTTAGCATTATATGCTACGTATTGTTTTCACCCTGATAAATAGGATCTATAATTGTATATAAATAAACAACCATTGTCCAGTTTAGAATACCAAAATGAAAATTAACTTAGATACAAATTCTTCTACCAATTAGAGTGGGTTACATTTTTACTTTAGCATAAAAATATAACAATACGTAGCATATAATGCTACGTATTGTTTTCACCCTGATAAATAGGATCTATAATTGTATATAAATAAACAACCATTGTCCAGTTTAGAATACCAAAATGAAAATTAACTTAGATACAAATTCTTCTACCAATTAGAGTGGGTTACATTTTTACTTTCTGATAATGTTTGCCTTCATCGAATCTTGGCAACTGAAAACGGGTTCAGTATAAAATAAATTTTCTACATAAGGACTTTTACTTCTCCTCTTACTCAAGCGTAGGTTTTAAAACTGAAACAACTTATCAATATTCTTTGAGATATTTTCATTACTAACCTTCCTCAGCGGAATTTCAACATAAATTGGCACTTCCATTCAAAACACGCATCCCAGTACAAATGCAGCTCAGACTAATACGCAATTTACTTACTCTTCCCTCTCACACAGTTAAGGTAGCTTTTACTGAACATATCTTTCTGAGGACCCGTAACCGTATATAGCATTTCCCAGTAATAAGCTTTGCATACTTAACACACTCTTCAGCCGTCTTTCCCCATTTCATTAAAACTTCGAAGATGTGAGACTATTAGTTTGGTGAGAAGGGAAAAAGTTGCATACCGAATTTATTATAATGGAAGTAAAAAAGTTCGTGGACTTTTTTAGTTCAGAGTTATTCATTCAGCAGTTTTGTTTTTGTTGTATCTACAAGGAAAAAAGTTGGGCATTGATTGACATAACAATCATTACCATTTTTGAAATAAATCCATAAATTTCTGTATAATATACTATTCGAAGCTGTATCAGATATACAAGGACTCGGATAAATTTTACATTTCACATGATAACAGACACGGCATAAAGTTACTTATTCCTCGAACTTTAGATATTTCCGAATGTACTTTGGTAGAAATAACATTAATGCACGATCCAAATCTCAAACAAGTGAAAATAACATTAACGTTATAATAAAAGTATGTGTCTAGCTCACACGAGCATTTAGTATATAGGTTATAAAATGCCCACTACGAATATACAGGGTGTTGCACATTTCTACGTCATTAATAGCACTTCTTGGCTAAATAAAATATACCCAAACTAATTTTTATTATTAATGCCAAACTTCACCAGCTTCAGCGTTTCAAAGACGATTGGATTTGAGCAATTTTAGACGGATTCTCACGGATTTTACATTGAATACGAAATGAAGAGAGATAATTTATCTAAGGTTTGTCCAAAATGTGCAATATGTGTGACGGCTTGAGTTCAATGTGTACAAGAGAGAAGTGTGTATATACACAAACAGTACTTTTCTTTAATGTCCCCCTCCCCTTTGATTTTTTGAACGGATCAAATCAAAAGATTAAAACTTGAGGTAATGAAATTGATGCGTGGATACCATATCTTAGAGTAAAACTGATAGATGAAAATGTCAAGTTAGCCGCTGGGCGCCATCTTGGAAAAAAATTATATGAAAACGGGGGTCTTATGGCACATGAGTTTGAAGCTCCTGACAAGTACTTTATAACCCTAGAATATAAAGTCAATACCTTTACCTACTACAAAATAATTACTTAAATACATTGTCATTTAACTTGATAATTCGAATAAATATGTTGAGGTCAGATTAGAAGATGCTGGAAATCGTTGCCTTGAACTTCTCGACACAATAACGATCGATATTTCTACAAATATTTGTTATTCTCAGCCGTATATCCAATATTGAAGCAGGTTCAGTTTCGTACATATTTTGCTTCAAACAACCCCATAAAAAAAGTCTAAAGGTGTCAAATCTGGCGAGTGAGCTGGCCATTCCACAGGACCTCGACGGTCAACCCAACGATCAGGGAAATTGTTATCTAAATAATTCCTAACTTGTCTGGAGTAGTGTGGCGGAGCACCATCTTGCTGGAATACAATATCAGTATCGAATTCATTAGGATTCGCTTCGACGATTTCGGTGATTAGAGGGTCAATAGTATTTTCCAGCATATCCAAATACAGTTCCCCGGTTAAAGTTTGTTCGATGAATAGAGGCCCCACAATATGGTTTCCCAATATCCCAGCCCAAACGTTAATTTTTATGGATATTGAGTATGAGTTTCCCCGGAAGACGTGAGGATTAGTGCCGCTCCAATAACGACAATTTTGTCTATGCACATTACCGTTGAGAAAAAATGAACATTCATCTCTAAAACAAATATTTTGGATATAGGTAGGATGCCGTGCAATGGTTTCCGTCATAGTCTCGCAGAATTCTGTTCTTCGATCAGGGTCATCTTCAGTTAGCTGATGTACCCATTTGAATTTTGTATGGGTGATACTTATTCTTTTTCAAAAGCCTCCATACAGTAGAAGGACAAACCTCACATACATTCGCGATGAAGGAAGTAGACTGTAGGGGATTTACTATGATCTCACCAATTATTTTGCTTTTCTTCCGGGATGACCTGGGGGCTTTTTGTTGTTTCCCTTAAATATTTTCTACAGATAGGACGATTCGGGAAACTATCATTAAAAATCCTTTCGGTATCGTGAAAGTTACGCGTCGCACCATAAATAAAAATCGCTTCGATTTTTCCTTCCAATGGACGAAAATTGACCGTTTTAAAAATAGTTCAAACAGAATCTAGCACTAAAACCTGAAACTAAATAAGATTTTAACTGTATGTACAATGATGTTTGTTTTCGTACTGATATTCTTGACACTGTCAACAAAAAATAACAAAACAAGTTTTTATCGCTGTTGCTGTGGATACGGCAGGGAATTACAATTATTTGTAGAGATATGCATGTTAGTGGATTTATGTTCAAGTAATTATTAAATGTAACACAATTTTGCAGTAGGTAAAGGTATTGACTTTATATTCTAGGGTTATAAAGTACTCGTCATGAGCTTCAAAATGATGTGCCACAAGACCCCCGCTTTTATATAATTTTTTTTTCTTGACATTTTCATCTGTTTTCATCTGTCGATTTTACTCTAGAATATGGTATCCACGCATCAATTTTATTACCACAAGTTTTAATTTTTTTAATTGATCCGTTCAAAAAATCAAAGGGGAGGGGGACATTAAAGAAAAGCATTGAATAAGTTAGAAAGAGATAGAAGTCGGAGAGCTGGAGGGGTTGCAAATTTGTGTTTGAGGATTGTTGGGGGTGGGGACGGTATATCTAAATTTTTTGGTGCTAGTAGGAGAGAGAGGAGCTAAATGTAACATTTTTTCTTTCTTTCCATGGAGTGACTCAATTAATGAGTATTTTAACTGAAAAAGGCTTCTAAATGAGTAATCACATATTCGAAACTATTTACCCACAACTGAGTCTTTAATGATAATATATCTTTAGCACTTTTTCTGGAAACAGTCACTTGTTACAACTTACCCCGTTTTTGAGGCATTATTTAAGGCTTGTATTATGAAATCAACATACAAATAATATTTGTAAGACAATTGTATTTCTTACGAACTAATGAGGTGAATACTTATCATTTTCTTTAACAACAATATCTAACTCGCATATTATATGCTAAAGTTAATTGAACTTATAAATAAACTCAATGATCAGTGAAAACAGTTTTTATAATTTGCACTTATAATCGACATGAAACAAACCTTTTTATAACAATTCTTATTTTGTGTATTTACTTAACTATCACAACGACACAAATAAATGTAACATTGTTTTTGGTCAAAAGTTTAAATAAGTTATCTCAATCAACTAATTTTACTAACCTTAACAATTTGAAACTCATTATATCAAATTCAACGTGGAAAGGAAAATAAATTCGTATAAAATTACGAACATTTTTAATGCAAATTACTTCAGTCTTTATCAGATTCACAATTTATACAAATGTATGAAACAGAATCACCTCTTAAACCATTAAGGTGTGGCCACAGTTTACAGATCATACACTCAATCCAATCTTATTTGTCTGATTTTCTATATTCTGCTCCGCAAATTAAATAGAATCACTCTTCTTCTTCAGAATCTGATTCTTCATAGAACATTTTTTTCTTCACTTCATCGATCTTGGTCTTTTTAGGTCTTTTGGACTTACCTTTACTTTTGCTCTGGTTAGTTCCTTTGTTTTTGGCTTAAGCTTCTTGTTTCTGGTTTTTATCATTTTCTCTTAAAATTCTTTCTCCAGAGCTTTTTTCTCTGGAGTGTCAGTCAAAACGGCTGCCTTTCGCTAGATAGTTTTTTTTTACTTCGGACGGAAGCAATCCGAATTAGATGTCTGCACATTTCAAGTGGTAAGCGGTAGTTTTCTCTTCTTGCTCTGGTGAGAACACTTGCCTTAATTTGGTCTATACAACAGTAATAGGCAAACTGGTAGCAGACTCACGAGTTTTTTGGACATTGTCTAATATTTGCTTTTCTGTTTGTTCATAGACAGCTTGAGACTTTGCTGCCCGTTCTGACTTCCTTTTATAATTCCGCTACAACAAAAAACTTGACAAATGACATATGAACCAATAAAGTAATAGCTAATGCAAAAAAACCCATTATTGTGCAGGCTTGGGACAAGGTGTAACAGGTTACTTGCCTCCAAAATTTATCTAGCCCCAAAGCCAATTTTTATTTATAGAAAAAAATTACTATCATACGATAGTTTACTGAATACATAACAAAAATTGATAGGAACATTTTTGGGTTAGACACAGTATGATCTTAAAAACAGATTTTACGAATTAATTTTTTTTATCTGGCAAAAAACAGTACTTCTGCTGACAACCAATCACGGCGCCCTCCGACACTTTACTGGCTGCCCTTATGCCGTAGGCCCTATCTTGAAGAGCACGTCGAGATCAAAATCGAAACAATATTTTTGAAAAACGCTGAGTTATTAATCTGTTACTACTTACCCCCGTTAGAACAAGCCCCTCTTGCTCCTATATTTATTAATTTCACGTAACTGTTTCCCGTATTTCACACGTCATAGATTTCCATTACATTTGCAGTTAGATGCAGAGTCAACCTACTTGACGTCATTTTTTCTCGATTTTCGGAGTTTTAAACACTCTATAACTTTTCGTGTAGCTTTGCCATAAAGATTCTGACACCGTTTTCTGAATAACTCTACATTTTATAGTTCCGGATAGATTTCCTTTGGCGGTACCAGTGTCAAGAACGGAAACGGTCTGCAACATAACAAGCGCCGGGGACAAAAACTGCCAAGTATGGCATGTTGCAGATGTCGAAGTAAATGTATCGAGCGTATTTTACGTAACATGGGCTTGCAGGTTGTGTGTACTGGTGAATGAAGAACAATAAAAATAAATGAATTACGCCCTCAACTGTTATATGGATGTCGGCCATATTGTTTACTTTCTGGTAAATATTCTGCAATATGAGAGCATTGAGATTGAGTGCCCTGTATTATGGGAAAGAAAATGAAATATACTTCCAGGGAAGACTTCCATTTCGTATTCAGCTGTAATTTATTCAGGACAGTTTCATTTATGTATATTCTAGGATAAAAGCTTGCAAAACTTGACAAAAAAAAAAGTACTGATGACCGCCTTACATGATTTACTTTATGACGACCGTAAAAACATGATAAAACATAGGGATATAAAACCAAGTATAATACAAAAAATATTTAGTGTGGATTTTAGTATACGTTTATAACTCGACGAATGTTCATCGCCATATTTGCACCGCATAAAACCATGCAAGTCAATAAAGGCGATTATCCGAAACAGGTTATATATATACGAGTATATGTATTATCACATCACTGATATAAAAATGAAAGTACAATAAAATCGACAGGTGGCGCCAAAGTATCACAGAAACCTAAGAGGTGTGTCTTAGAAGTAAGATATAATATTTACGGGCTCATTTTAATGAGAAATACACCATAATTATACGAACGTATGCCCTAAACGTCTTACTTTTTAAGTTACAGGGTGGTAGAGTTTACAAAAAAATTATATTTCTTCATAGCAAAGCATCCAATAAGTACCACGACAAACTTAAGGAGAAGGTAGGCTTTGAACTGACCTCCCAAATAACAAAACCTTACCTATATAAAAGTGTCACCGTTTTAAGGATATTGAATTTTTTTAAATTTAAAAAAAAAGAACCTTTTCGTCTGTGGTCTTTAGCTGCATCTACAAATAAGGTTATACTTTGTTCATTTTTTTTCTATAAACCACTTCTAGATAGTTGCTTTATCATATACAAATGCAATATAGTTAAAAAATATTAAGGAACCATGATAAAATAAGGACTGTTTTGGGATTTATAACCTTCTGATATTGTTTCCTCAACTTTGACCAACTGTAGTGGAACAAAAAATTACTGAGCTATAACTGCATTTATTGAATAAAATATTGCTCATTGAATACAGATTTCAGAACGGTGCCACATGTACTATTTGGAATAGAAAAAAAGTGATATTTGGAAGTGTCTGACACTACAACGTAATTATTGGATTTAAATTTAAGTTACTGACCAATCACATGCTAAATAGTACAACGATATTATTAACTGCTCCTGATATTATTTTATGATAGCTACTGGAATTCGGACTATAGTCAACAACAATAAGAAAAGGGATACATTCTTGTTCCGCGCTACTGATTGCCCCAGTTGATAGCGTAAAAACATAGCGAAGAACAGTATAAATAGTTATCTGCTGTCTAGCTCTACTGACAAAGGTATACATCCTAGTGGGTTCCTGATATAATATCGGACTCATATTTGCCTTACGACTTGGATGTTGTAGATTGTGTACACTTTTGTCGCTCTTTTGGATCGGATTGGACTTCGTCGATTTTTTTGAATTGAACCGACAAACATTGTGTTGTGAATATGACAGAGACCACGCCGTATACTTCGCACGAATATGCGGACATTCATCTGGTTTACGGTGAAGCTTGCGGTAATGCCAGAGCGGCTCAATCGCTCTACAGAGCGATACCCCAATCGCCGGCATCCGGGTCAAGAAGTTTTCACCCTGACCCATACAGCGATATCTGAAGGTAAGTAATGTTTACATGTTTCTTGTTAATAATAGAGAAAAATTACTAAAAGTACACCTCATACAAAATCTTATGTCAATAAATGAATAAATTTTTTCCACAAACAATTTCTGCTTTATTTCAGGCTAACCCGTCCTTTACAAAAATAATTCTTTGTATTGTTACTGACCCGAGCCGGAATTTTCAGTAAGTTTCATAAAATCATATCAGGAATAGGCATTTTTCTAATGACTTGGTGACACTTAAAAATTCACTGTAGTGAGAACACTGCGCGTATCGTTGTGAAACTTTGAATTTAAGTTTACTAAAGAGTGTGGTTAAGATTCAGTACTGACGTTCGATCCGCGCGGCCTACTATGTTTCTATATGCAAAACTTAAAAGACATCCCTCGTATCGGTGATTTTTTAATACCTTTTGTTGAATATTTCACAACCCACGTACTTCGAAGCTTTCTGATATATGAGACGATGTTTGTTGGGGGGAAGGGGGGGGGGGTACCATCAGATCTTTGAAGAGGTTCGATTTATTTTGATATACAAATATTGATAATTCATAAATGTTAATACAAGCTGCTACTGTTAAAATTCTTAAGGCAAGATTCACGCCAATTAAGATTTGCAATGATTCTAATAATATATGTACATATTTCTTGAGAGGAAAAACTCTATCTAACGATGAGCTGCATCCCCAGCTTAAAATGTCATAGCCCAAGTGACAATTAAAGCTGGAATAATATAGAGTAAGTAAAACTTGCTTACTGCAGTGTTTTGATAAAAATGTTATACCATATAAACAATTTCGTAATTTATGACACAACAATTCCACATGTGGCTCCCAAATTAGATGACACTAAATGGTAATACCCAACAAATTAACTTAAAGAGATGTTTCAATTATTGAAACGTTATTAAAAATACCGAAATCCCGATTATATCTTAGTGAAAGTATCATTAATTGGCTCTGTATTTAATATAAGGCCACTATTTACCGACCATTTTTGAGCGGAGCTTCACTATTATGAAAGAGTTCAATGTTACTAGAATTGGTAATATATAATATGATGATAGCTTCAAAATCAAATATGGTATGTAACTGAACTCTCACGTATTAAAAAATGAATATAATTCTTATTCACTTTTGTGAAAATTTGATTTCTTCTCTTGTTTTCACTGACTTACGATTTTTACTTTAAAAAAGATCATTCATCTGCATTAATATATCAATAGTTTTGAAGAAACGGTGTTATCTTTCCATAATTATCATATAATATAATAGCCATAAATATGACCATGCAGAGAAATAGTTCTTATTTTTCACGCGAAAACCGTAAGAAACATGAATCTTACTATTTACTATAAGAGACCAAGGTATATGAAATTCAATTCAGAACTGTTCGTCGATATCAAGCTTATGAAGAACGTATCACAACATATAAAGTGAGGTTTAGAAATAGATTTATTTGAACTCTTTGAACTCAATTCGGCCTTTAATATATGTACCAGAATATTTATAGCTGGGTTGTCGCGCTCCGATTTTTGTTTGGGTTAGTGCCCTAGGTTATCGTGCCGGTCTGTGGGCGTTTAACCAGTTTGGTTTAAATATATGCCAGTAAAAGAAACTCATGGGAAGCTCGCATAAGTCTATTAAGGCGGCTCCGAGGCAGCGAGTTTCAAGCCATTTACAAGGGGGTTCAGCTGCTTCAAAACTGACACTACATTTTTCAATATTTTTGAATAAAATTCATACAGTATGTTGAGAAGATAATTGCTCAGGGTGCTATAGGAGCACTTTTTGAAATTTTGTTTTTGCACAAGTTTTATGATAGGATGAAGTGCGCACCTTTTCTGTTCAACTTCGCGATTTTTTTAAAAAGAACCTAGTGAAAAAATGAAAAATTGGCTCTATAGCACCCTGTGGGGTCTTGTTTTCAGCACTCTTTCATCCAGAAATATCAAAAAATAAAGCGTCAATTCCGAAGCGCGCAAACCTCTACAAATCGTATTTTGGACGAATTTTGTCTACTGTTTCGTGCTGCCAAACCAAGCGTTGCGGCGCAATGTACGGACTAAGATAATTTGGTGGCCCTATTTCATATAATATCGCGTAGATAAGTCGTTCTGCAAATAGGTGCTCATAATCGCGATCGCTGATACTCCTCGATTTTAAAGCCGTTTCACTTCCACGTCATTGGCGAGGAAGTATTGTAATCGCGATAAATTTCTAAAATGAGATGTTATGTTTTTTTAAGTCATATGACATCTACATCACGAAAAACTGTATCACTCATCAACTTGGAAATTACCGCTCGGATTTTTATGAAATTTCCACACGCGGTTACTAGTATACCAAAGCTTTGTAGTTTTAGTCCAGTGGCAACGGTGCTATAGGCAAAAAAAGAGTAACAATTGCTGAAACTCCATTTTTGACGTTTCAGGGGTTCCTTATCATT